CCCAACATGTAGATGCTCCCAAGCTCATATCTGCAACAAGTGGATGCAGCCTACTATGTTGGCATGTTTATGTCTGATTACTTGAGATAGCTTCATGTAAAAATGAGTTAAAAATGCACCTCCAAGTGAGTACGTCCAAAATATCGTTATGTCCTCCATTAGTGGCAAATACTGTAAATGAATTTCGGAGCCTCAATTATCTGATAGCAAACAGCCAGACAACATCCAAGCAGGAATAAAATGTAAGCCCGCACATACCTCCAAAAAATCATCTAAAAAAATCAATGTACGAGTCCCTCCAGAAAGTCCACCTAAATCATCTCAGTGGAACACACGCCTGCGCATACGCCTGACTCATCCTGAACTTTACTATAATCCATGGATTGAATGGGTCATGGTACAAAAGATCAGGATTTGAATGTTGTCTAAGTAAATCATCATAGCAATCTAGCCAACTCAACCATAGTTTGTCTGCAGCTACAACTATGTGGCCAACAAAAGCATGTCTATCAATATGTATTCCCAATATCATCGAGACATCCTGCAATGTGACACTCATTTCACCAACAGGGAGATGAAAAATATTCGTCTATTGCGACCACCTCTCAATCAGAGCTGTAAGTGGTGGTCCTATCTGCATCTCATCTGGCTCGCACTATCTATACCCACAAAAACTAAAGCCTCCATAAACCTAGGACAGTTGATAAGCCTCTCATGCACCATCAGCAAGTGTGAAACAACCTCCAATATAGTACCTTATAATGAATATATGAAAAATCTTTACAATCAGAAGCAATAACTACATTAAACTGAAATAAAATTTTGATGGCATCTACAAATTAAGCGCATTTACCTAAGTATAATATTAATATTCATTATATAACAAATAATTCATACGTTGAAATGTATCAATTTTATAAATTAATAGTCAAAAGTCATCATAAGTAGCATTTTAAATGTAAAGAAAATATTCCTAAGTTTACAAAAAAATTGAATTTGCTAACTACTAATAGGAATAATCATTATATTTACCAAAAAAAATTAGATTCACCTAGTAGGACAAGTTACCTTATTATATACTACTGAGCCACATGCACTATATTGTATGTTGCTTCTAACTCTTCTCTCGTCCATTGTGTTCCTAAAACGATTTATTCTAGGTCTCCCAATACATCTTCTAAAATTTGAGGAGATGAGTGGGTGTATGCCACTAGTTGGATTATGTTATGCCCAACTGGATTGATCTGAAATATTATGACATTGATCAGCATAGGTCATTTTGAAATTGTTTAAAATATAGTATTCTGATATATAATTATGGCAACTTTGTCTTAGCATTGAAATTCAACTAACTAGGTGTGCACATGGAATATGATATATAATTATCTTCCCATAACTACAAATATAATTTTTATCATCTATTAAATCAACCCTGAAAGATCGAGATGATATGTCAATCACTTGGAACTCACGTATATTGATTTGAATGGGTTGTGGTAACCTAAATGCTTCTTGCTCGATCTTTTATAGTGTGGCTTGTACTCTTGGTGCGAAGGGACTAGTGGCATCAATTGCAGAACCTTCTAGCATCTCTATTTTTCGCAAATGTAATGTCACGACGTTATAGTAAATTGTTGTAACCAACGCTTGAACAAGCAAACTCTTATCTCTTTTAAGAACTCCATTAAATGACTATGACGCATTAGTTGTCATGACTTCATAACGAAATCTATCATCATAGGTTAGAGCCAACGACATAACTTTACGTTTCACAAATCATTAGTGATATCAGTTTTCATCTTTATCATACTATTATGCACCTATCAAAGACCATTGGATCATCAATGTTCCCTATCATGTACATCTTCTAACATGAAAACTCTACGTCACCAACACCCATTCAGTGCACTTCTTTCTTAAAATTCTCACCTAGGTGTCATAGATAGTGGCAATATGCAACATTTGAAAAAATTTCGCAACAATCACGCACCAAACCAGCGTGCCTGTCAGATATAATACATAAATCAATTTGGGTACGAACAACTAGAATTAGTATATGCATTTAACTCAGAAATCATACCATGAATCAACACATTCTGATTTTACAATCGCGAAACCGAGAGGGTGCAATCCATTGTTGCCATCAATTCTCACAGCGGTAAGAAAAATGCATCGGTATTTACCTAACAAGAATGTGTCGTCAAGGCAAAGAACAAGACGACAGGTTCAACCGTTTATCAAAAAGCCAAACGATAAAAATAATCTCTTAAATATAAGAGTTTCATACCTTTGTATTTATAGAAGGTTTCAAGCATCGAAAACAAAACGACGTCTATGAATACATTTATAATTCAATAAAACTCTTCCCAGCTACCAAACACTATCTTCACAACTTTCTGTTTGGCATCCCAAGCTTTTATATACGAAACTTTTATGCTGAACTTTGATTCAATTTGTCCTGTAATCTCCAGCGGCTTGAGATCCGTGTCTTCTAATACTGAGAAATATGAAGTAGCTTATAAATTGAGAATTACATTATCGGTATCCTGTCACTAGAATCGGAGTTGTGCAGGTATGTCACTTATTCATGATAGATATTTTTCATATGTCTCTAAGACATTTCCCCCCTGCAAACAAACGTCATATACATGATATGTCTGACCAATCATTCTGAGCACAAACTAATGTCATTTTCTATCTATTTGAAGCTACAACGACAAACTCCACATTATTTATAATTGGTCAACCATGTAATGCAAACTGAAGATACTCTTTCTTATTAAAACACATACATTTTATCAGCTCTATTGGAATTGAAAATTATTCCTCAACTTGGCTACTAGCATATTCACTATCATTTGCTATGTCTTCATCCATTCACGAGTTGTTAAATATACCTTCATAAACTCAATATTTATAGATATGCATTTTGCAGTGCCAATATTCGTATAACAATAATGTTGGATCATGCTATGGATTTCAGAATTCATATCAATATTTACTTCATTTAAATGATATTGTGCGTCATCATCACCATCATTAGGAGTTGGATCGCTCGATCCACTACTCATCGTTTCATAACCATCATCGGCATTGACCAATGGTCTATCGGAAGTTCCAGGTATGTCTTGGCAAAAACTTCTTCGTCGTTCACTTCATCACATAAACGATATTTTGTTAACAATAATGAATTTTTCAAACAATTATACTTTATTTAATATGCATTTAAATAAAAAACTTACTCAGCATATTACAACACGAAACTTGAATTCGTAGAACTACATTCTATAATCTCGTCGAAAGTAAATGTCTCATGCACTTGAAATGTTAATTGCTTAGCAACTAAATTTTGTGCACTAATATCTTCGACCTCTATATAAAGTAGAAGTATCTATCAAATTGTATGTGACAACACCATCTGAGATACCTCATCATCTTCCATAGGCAATGTTATAAACTCATTCCCTGAGGAAATACGATAAACTAAGTTCACTGTGCACTTCGACGTATCATATTTAAGGACTTTCAGGACCCTAATCTTCAGTTGGTTTAAGTTTGTCTTAACAACCACTTTGAATGGCTGGTAACTCCCCCCCAACATATGTTGGTGAATATTTTTATCATCTAAAAACAATTCTCCACCATACATAATAACAAACAACGCTCTGCGTCTAAACATTACTGCATCACTATGTACCGCTAATACTTATAATTAAACTAAAATCTTTAACTCGAAGAAATGAAACAACCAAAGCATTTATCTAAATAAGCTTATATAATACATTTTTTAAAAAATAAATTTTAAATATATTTAGCCAAAGAAATTTAAAATATATACATATTTTCTCCAAAATAATAGCTCTTCACCAAATTATTTCTGAGATGCGCTAATATTATATGTCTTAGCTCTCAAAGTTCACCTATTTTCTCCACAAAAAATATTTTCCACAAAAACAAAAAATTCTTTCACTAATACTATATAATAAAAAATATCTCTTTCATCAAAAATTTCTTTCACCAAAAATACCAAAATCTTATCTGAAAGAAATAAAACAATCACAACATATTCTTATCTTCTACTCATAAATTACAAATAAAATATACCACACTATTCATTCATTCCTATTTCGCTATAAAAAATCTCACATTTTAACATACTTAACCTTATATAAAACAACTTAATCAAGCTTAAACTTAAAAAAAAAATCCACACAAACTAAATATGATATAAAAGAAAAATCATTTGAACAACCAAATTAAAAAAAATATCAAATATACTTACCTAGGAGTCAAGTATCGCCAGATTTCGCAAGAAGCCAATCGTCTTTTTCGCGAATAGGGCGGGGGAAATGGGGATTCGTCGGGTTGGTAAAGTAGCAAGGGTACTTAAAATAGAAACAAAAATTGTTGGTTAACCACTTAATTAAAACTTAAACAATACTTAGTTTTTAAAAAAAAAAAAAACTTATAAATTCTTTCTGTGTGTGATGCTGCTGTTAGAACATTAAGTTGTTTTTATTGTTTATTGCACTCATTCGTACGTATAAGAATGCATAATGGCAGAAGTAATGGAGATTATGTGCGAAATCACAAAATGGGGGACAAGAAAAAGGTGAAGGATTTAAACAACATCGGAACGGCATTAATCATAAGGTAATGTTTGTATAATAATGCATTATAATAATAATTCTATCAGAAAAAGTAAGAACTGTAAAACTAAAATAAAAAACCATTGATGTCATTACTAATGGATTTTCCTCGTGATTGTTGATGAAAGGCTACCAAAACGCTTCCAACAGATTTTCAGTCGTGGCGCTATTGATGGGGGAAATACATTGTAAAAACGATGTCACTGAAAAATCAATTGGCCATTTTCTAACCTTTCCGATGGATTGTTTGGCCCAAAAACTCTAAAACAAATAAAAAAAAGCACTAATTCATCTAAATAAGCAAATTAAAAATAAATTATTCCGTTGAATGGAAAAGAAAATGGTACTAACATGCCAACATTATACCAACATTCCAATAGAAATTCCAGAGCACCCACCGGGAGATCCTTCTGTTTGGCAACGGGATTTATGCAGGATTTGAGCAGGATATAGTGTAAATCCTACCAAACGGTATCTGAGAATCCCGAAATCTCACGCCGAGATAAATCTGCTCTTACCCTATTTTTTTGCGTAAATTCCAGATTTACTAAATCCTGGGGTTCGAAGGATTTACGGAACTTGGACGAAGAAGCGCGCAAGAGGGAGAAAGATGCTTACAGGAGCAACGTTGTTTAAGGGGCCGAGAAGCCTCGTTCGACTGTTTCAAAACTCTACTTCCCGCGATGCACGCGAAGGTGAGGCAACAATCCCACGGGAAGGTAAACGTCGTCGGAGGAGGCGAAGCACGCGACTCTTCAAAACTCATGCGAAGCAGGCGAAGTCACGTTCAGTGATAATTAGGTAAGTTACGACATCACATCCACTGGCGGGGATATATGAAAAATGCTTAGCAAATATTTATAATAAAACATTTATTATACTTTAAATTAAATATTTTAAGTATAAATTATTTTATTTATTGGACATTTAGGCCAATTAAGGCAAACTCACACACACAACGCATACACATTGACTCGAACTCTGGAACTAAGAAGCCTAAGCTCTCAACCAATAGGCCAAGGAGAGTTGTGTTGGCGGGGATATATGAAAAATGCTTAGCAAATATTTATAATAAATGGAGCTCTTCTCGTTCTGGCTGTGGTTTTTTCTGGATCATACTTGCATATTCAATTTTATTTTATAGGCTGTTGCTATAAAGCCTTTTTTTGATTTTTTAGTTTTTGGGTTATAAGGTGGGTTTTTCTTCCATTTTATACTTTTTGAGGCTCTCTTGAGCCTGTCTTCTCATGTAACTTCTATTTCTTTTTAATATACGGGCAAAGCCCAAATTTTCCAAAAAAAAAATATTTATAATAAAACATTTATTATACTTTAAATTAAATATTTTAAGTATAAATTTATTTACTTATTTAATGAAATTAATAATATTTAATCTTTAATTAATAGAGATATTTATAAAATATTTAAAATTTGTTGTCATTTAACTGACTGGTTTTAAAAGAATCGGGTTCGGTTCATCGGTTGAACAACAGTCTCTAACCAGTTCAATCTGTTCGATTATAAAGGTAATTTTTAGATTTAATCGTGATCGATCTTATGCCAGTTACAGTTGACCTGTCAACCGGCCGCATTCGAACGATCCGATTTTTAAAAACACTTGATAATAACATTGAAATCAAATCTAAATAATATATAATTAAATTAATTAGTGGTAAGTAATAATTAGGATAACAATTATCTCTTAGTCGAATACCCCGATTTAAAAAAAACTAAGTTATCGAAAGTAGATCGTAATTATAATTAATATATATAGTTATAACACAACACCTCTAAATAAAATAATGTACAATAAACTTAGTACCTTAAAAATAAATCATTAATTTATATGCTTTGATAATTAACCAACTTTTGAATTATATTATTTCTACTTGTAATTTATTGATGGAAATTAAAATTGAAACCAATAAATAATTCATAAAATAATTTGAAGTATAAATGATTATTATTTTAATTAATAACTAAATAATTAATTATTCAAATATCAATTATCTAATAATTATTAAAATAACAAATAAATAAGTAATTAGATAGTTGAAACTCTAATTAATAAGTAATTATTATTTAAAATGCAAATTAAATTTAAATTGTCTTTGATTTTGGGTTACGTTGTCAAATAGTTTCACAGACTTTAGCAAGATTGGGGTGATATGTATAACTGATTGAGGTGATTTCAATAATTTTATTATACCTGTTGAGAATAACATGCAAGTTGTCTTTAGTCTTTTAAAAATTTTTATGTGTTTTAAACTGATGGGTTGTGAAAATCACTTAGTGTGAGGTATTTGGTACCCAATTTGGACTTCAAAGAAGAAGCAAACGTCCCTCTTCAAGATGAGTTCCTTCCATTTGGAGATCTAAATTTGGGTAAGTTTGAAATCCAAAGAGAAAAAATTACTCCTATGGGAATGAGTTATTTTCATTTGGATACCCAGACCTGATCAACCAAAGGAGCGCAAATGAAGAAGCTGAAGTAACAAAACATAACTCACTCTAATAATTGCATCATTACATAAGACTAGAATTTGGGTTATTGTCAATGGTGTCAGACCACTTTTAATTTATGCAGGACCCTGAGTTGTAATTAAGTGACACTTGTCATATAGTCATTTTTACATTCATTTGATATATTTTGATGATGTGTTATGATTGATTGTTTACTTTACATGCATTAGGAGTTCCATAAGTCTTTATAGATTTCTTACTCTGCATGCAATTTTTATTTTAGCTTCGATGCAATTAGGCTCTTTAAGGACCAACATTTTTATACTCATAACTAAATTAAAATGGTTAGATCAATATAAAAAGATAAATGATTCTGAGAAATAAGCTCGGACACATTGAGGGTCTCATGCATTCATATTATGACTTATCTTCATTGTTAGGCATCTCTGGGTTGTGGCAATCCACTCGACCTATTATGGTGTATCTCTGTATGAGGGGATGTTAAACAATCTCTATAAAATTTTTAACTGTTTTATATCATTTATGCCTACAAGGTCAATCAGCATGCATTGCATTAAAATTTAATAAAAGAATTAAAATTTTATTGCATTTTAGCATAATTACCCCACATAAGCAAAGGGGCCAATTATGACATTCTTTAGATGTTGACCCTAATATTTTAGAAACTTGAACAATAGCCTACCCATATTTCATAAAGACTGAAATCATGATTTTTAAGTGCCCAAATGGTTAGCCGGCTCTCCAATCCAGGACAAAAGGTAAGCCCATAATTGCATGTCCTTAGCTAGGTTTAGGCAACTACAATTTAGTGCCCAAATTAGATTTAGGATGTGGGGCGAATTTAAAATCATAAATATACAATATCGAAAATTTAATCCTAACATTATAATAAAATTACAAGTCAAAGCCAAAATCTGCTCTAAACAAAGATGTAAAGCCCAACATATATGATATATTGAGGCATTTCTGAATTATTTAAGAATGCCAAAATGCCTCCTAGTCCTTCTCCATTGGCCTCTAAAATAATTGTTCAAATTTGATTCAATCTTAATTGGAGATTCCTAACTTCATTCATTTGATATCACTCTTAGAAAATTCAAAATTAAATTTCTATCATTATTTTTAATCACGAGTGTCCGTAGGAAGCCCAAACTTCTTTGGATGTAATTAATTATAAAGGTTTGCCTTCGTAGGAGATTTTAAGACCCCGTAAAAAATAAATAAAAACTCACTTTGGTAAAAATTGAAAAATTAAATACGATTGTTATCGTCATATTCAAATGATTAATAAGAAATAATATTTTCTTCCTTTGAGAAGACATATCATTTGTTATTACGACCTTGAATATGAAATTAATGATAACCCATCTAGATTATCATAGCTAAATATTGACTGAATATTATTTTGACCTTTCAGGATCATATATAGTTTATTCTTGAATTTATCTATGATATTTATGATATAATTCGCAATTGTAAATCTAAACCCATCAGAAAATTTTATTTCCATCTTGTGAGGTGGCATATCATTTTTAGTGATGTGTTTGATTTCAAAATTAAAATTCAAAAGTCAACATTTAAAATTTTCCAAAGAAAATAACTAAAAATTGCTTTGCACTTTTCAACAAAATTGTGCAAACTACAATGGAATAGGACTTCCTCAAGATTTTATATAACGATACCTACAACATTTAAAATCTTCAATGATAGCCTAAAGAAGGTTGACATTTTCACCCAAGCCTTCGATGATATGGCATATGCAATTTCTTTCGTCTTGATAAATAGAAGTATATGCTGTATATACTGAGAAAAGAGGAGAGGAGCCGAATCTCACTGCACCACGAGTTATTTGACTATCAGTGGCAATTGGCATAAAAGTAATATTTGAAGCATTTTATTTGATCCATATCCTTCTAGGATATAGTTAAATTGTTGTAACTACATTTATTGGTATAAATATTACAGATGTTGGAGAAACAAGGGTTAGAGAGATGGGTATTGTCTATTTTTTTATTTAAGAATACCAATAAATTTTCAATATTGAAGGAGTTGATAAGGTATTTATAATTAAATACTTTATACAAGTCATCAAAGCCTCTCATATTTCAGCCCACCATAGAGAGGATGAGCATGGGTGTTTAGTGATATGGGGATGACATCTTTAATTTGCTATTATCATGATTGTGAGGTTTTGAAATTTGTTTTTGAGGGCTTTGAAGTGGATATCTCTTGTCATTGGGGTCATCTTCCTCATTTTGATGAATGTCGATTTTGTTTTGGGTCATGGCTAGCGGAGGGTCGGTGATGTTGAAATTTCATCAAAAGAGGAGTTTAGGTTGGGAATAACATTAATTGGCCTATTGGTTAATAAGGATTCTTCTACTATATTACTTCATGGGTGATGGGGTTGATTGGTACTTTAGGAATTGTAATGTAGTTCATGATAATAAGGGCTTGCTCTAATCACGTGAAGGAAGGTTAGGTGTAATACCTATTGAATTCATGCACAACTATGCTTGTATCTTTTATGACTAAGCTAAGTAAAAGTAACCTCATGATTTTTTTATTATTATCCTCTGCATGTGTCTATGAGTATTTTGTATGCACAAGGGTATCTAAATTTATTTTGAGGTGGGTCCCATGGGTTTGTCTGCATGATTTAAAAATTATAAATTTTTTTCCCTTGGAGTATTGCCATGTTGCAGCATTTAACTCCATGCCTTTGGGCCAAAATAATTCAATGCTACAATGCTTGGGACGTCATTGCGATGCCTTGCTTTCTAGCGGTGATCGTTGCAGCGCTAAAGGGTCAGGTGTCATAGTGCCAAGCTCAAATTTTACCAAAAATATCAATTTCCTTCAAATGTTTTTATCATTAAACAATTTATTTCCCCTTAAGTTATCTGGTGATAGAGGGAGGATGATTCTAGAGAGATAATGCTAGGATTTGGAAGACTTCTATTCATTTTCTATTATCCACACAATTTTGAAAGTTGTTCGGATTGAAATTGGTTACATTTCACTTATCTTGGTTTTCAAAAATACGAAAAATTTTAGGATTTGTTATTTAATTTATAACTTCTACAATAAAAGTGGAAATAGCTATGCAACCATAAAAATTCCATCATGTAACATTTAGTATGTTACAGAGATAATCATTATGAATATTTATGTATTTTTTTGAAAAAGTTTTGCTCGGTAGTTCAAAAAACATGTTGTTGCAGTGAGCTAAAAATAATATTGTAGTACAAAAAAAATTTCAAAATAGTGTTTTGAACCATCCCTAAAATATTAGCATAATTATTAAATTATAATTAGCAGTTAATTTTGTTGAATACAAGTAAAGCCTTATGTGAATTTATGAAAATTGTTCATTTACCCTTCTTTTACATTAATGAAATGTTATATCCGTTTATTTTCTTGAAATGTATGATTCTATCGATTTTTGATGTGGAAAAAGCGCTGATGCTTTAGAAGTTCGAGTCATAATGGTTTAAATTTCTGAACGTATGATATTTGCTAAGTATTGGGAGTTATAAGGGTGTATATTATGATATTCTAGCACAATGAGTTATAAGGGTTTGAATTTTGATATTTATTCCTGAGGGGAGGTATAAGAGTCTGAGGATTTTTTTTTTACTTTCTACTCTAATACGCGAGGTGCTATTTATTTACTTTTAGTATACAATTTGATTTATTTTAGTTATATGCATTTACTATTATTTTCAGCACGGAATTCTTTTTGAACTACTTTTATATTCAGTTAAATGCAAAATAAGTGAGTTATTACAAATTTTAGATCAATGGGTGTGACCAATTGAGCCAAGTTAGCTCTTGCCTACTCTACATTCTATTTCAAGTATGTGGAAGGAGAAATAACTAGTTGAGTAGCCGAATATTTAAGATTTTACATGAGTCTCTGGATGTTTTTTTTGTTGTTGGTTTAGTCATAGTCAGTTACGTAATTGCTTATCTCGATCTGTAGTCATATATTAAAAGTTGTGATTTTTGTATATATTTTGATGATAAAAGAATAGAACAAAAACTTGTTGATAAGTTTTTTTGTTGTTTCCTACATGAAAGTTAGAAGCTCTGTGGTTTGTATAGTTTAAATAAAATTTGAAAAGTGTCCAAAACTTAGATCTTGAGTTTGGTCGGTCATGAGTCAACTTGATAGGACCTGTTTTATTTGTGAGCCATTTTGCGTTGGGTTATGACATTAGGTTGAGCTAAATGGGTTGGTTCAACATGAGGTGGCATATTAGCTGCTAACGAGGAGTTGCAAATGATCCTATTCCGCCATACCATACCATGGCATAGTCATACCATACCATGGCATAGTCCGTTAACAGTGAAATAAAAATAATAGTCCTCTAACAATCAAAATTTCAACAGAAAAAAAAAAAACTATTATTTAGGGATAAGAGAGTAATAGTGCCTCAAAGAGCCTATTTTTTACATCATTTAAAAAGGCCGAATATCCAACTAAAGAAAGCGCCCAATTTTTCGAACCCAAAGCAACATTTTTGTCGGAGAAGTGAATAACTATCTTTCGGGGGAGAGATTATTACGTCCGGTTACTGGACGTCCGGACACCCAATCCAGACGGGCCACATCACCCGAATACACTGGATCCCGGTGTATTTTGGTTTCATGGCACGTCTAGATTGGTGTCCGGACGAATCCGGACATCGAACGTAATAATTTGCCCTTTTGGGGAGGGACATAACTGACGTGAAACTCTATGGTAGTTGGGATTTTAGTTGTAAGCATTTTTTAGTAGGAGGCTAAAGGGGTGGGTTGGATAGGAGAGAAGGGTTTAGTTGAAGAGGTTTTAACAATAGTTGGAGGATATGAGCCATTGTTTTGATTTTGTAGCAAGGAAACTCGTGCTTCAATATAGTGTTGAATAATAACATTAAGATCATCTCCAACCGAAAATCTCATTCTTCACTTCAAAATGGCGTGAAACTAAAAAAAATGCCGTGATTCATCAAATCGAACTCCAATTTTGAAAATGTAACATTCTTTATTCTTTTCGCACGTTTATTCGGCAAGTTAGGTAGAAACAAAAAAATAACGGGGATGAACATTGCAAAGTCAATATTGGCGTCCCACTGTTCACCCGCAAGCAAATAACGAAATTTTTACCATTCCGCTAGAGCTCCGCAACAACGCCATTTAAGCATTTAGAGTTCAGTTGGAGATGCCCTAAGACAGGATGGCTACTTGCTGCTTTTAGAGGGGCTATTTAGGCTAATTGTTCTCCATAATCTCCACCGATCATAATTAACACTCTTCAGATAATTGACATTTATTTAATTATTTTTAATATTAATAAATACTGCATCATATTTCTTTATAATAATAATAATAATAATAATAATAATAATAATAAAATTAATTTTAACGCACTTATATAATTTCCGAAGAGCACCGAATCAATTCCGAAGCGAGGCGATTTCTAATGTTTTTTTAGCAGGCGGAGTAAGGACTTCGCCTTGTTGCTTTATCATGACTACCGATCTGGAGGAGGAACAGCTGCTCAAGAGCTTCTTCGCCGAGGTCAGTGAAGTCGAGAGAGACAACGAGGTTGCTAGGTTAGAATAAACGTCCCGTTCCTCCCCACGTCACTTCACCACTGATTTCTTTTTTATCTGAAAGCTCCTCTATATGTTTGCTCGATCACCGCGTCATGCATCAGAAACCATAGATCCAAAATTAATGGTTCCATTATTTATCTAGAAAAAGATATATTCCGTCTATTTTATCTGATTTAAACTGGATGTGCGGCGGATTGATCATTGGATTGAAGTGTTTGATGTGATGTAGCAGAAGTTGGATGGGTAGTATCAATTATGGTCATATTAGTAGGTATACGCGAAGAAAAAGGTTCTGAATAGGAGGGATCCCAGCTTAAACGTCTTTTTCTAAAATTTTGATGGATAAAAATGCATTTTCAGGGTTTTGACTGTCTGACGCATAAATGTAACTATGTAAGTATTTTAAAACCTGGATCTGGCTGTTTGATGGAATTAGTGATTATGTATAATAGATGTTACCTTGACATTGCATCTTCTGTTAGTTGTTGTATCTTGGATGAGAGAACAGCGTGTACCCTAAAGCTTTCAGACTCTTGCTGTATAGTCTAGAAATAGCTCAGTAATTTATATGTAAATGTGAAATTGTTGTGCATGTTTGCTGCCTGCTAAGCACAAGCCTAAGATGCAAAGTGTTGAAACTGTGGGATTTGTAGTTGTTTTTTGGTTATGAAAATAACTAAGACGAGGAAAAAGTACAAAAGAAATATATTTTTTGACGTAAGATGCTTACTTGCACTAATAAGGCTGTTGATAAGAGCTTGAGTAGAACCTAAAAATAGATTGTACATACGTAAGATGCTTGGTGGTGGAGTGAGGAGATACAAGATATTATTAAGACAAAAAGTGTGCCTTTTAAAAACAGTAGAAAATAAATACCACCAAATTTATAATAATTATTAAGAATTTTACTAAGAGGGCTATAAGTAGGGCACTGAGAAGGAAATGAAGAAGACATAAAATAGAGGAGATATAGAAAAATTATCAAAATTAGATGTACTAAAAGTGAATATAATATGACTTAGTTAAAGAAAACGATATTAAAGAAATAAGAAAATTTTGTTTCAACAACTTATTAAATGAGAGTTGTAGAGAGCGATATTTTCATAGGCCACAATGCCACATTGAACAAATCATTAATTATACTACAAATTGATCCCATAATATTGAAATTGAGTTGGCTCTAAGAAAATGCTTAACAGGAAAGCTTGAGAATAGTTGGAAATATTATTTTTGTTTTGCCAAGTATTATTGTAAATGAATATTAAAGACTAGTGGTGCCAAATGTTTAGAGAGTGTGCATTTTTGGCAATTGTATTTGGCAATAAATGGGACATTCATGATTGCAATATTATAGGGAATCAAACATATGGGTCATAATAGATGCTATGAAGGAGAGTAATGGAACTTAAACAAACCAAAACCATGTCGAATAGTTAATTTGATTTAGTAGCAGGTATGTATAACATAGATGCATTTTTGTGTTAAGGAAATTTATTAAAAATTATAAAGAACTATGAAATGGTCTTCAAATGGTTTTATTTGATCTCAATAAACATATACCACGATAATAGTTTTGGAATGCATTAAGGAGAAAATGCAAGTTAAATATGTTTTAAAAAAATATTAATGATATGCATGCTAGAGCATTGAATAACATTATAGATTGTTGTGGAGTGACTAAAGAGTTCATAAACAAAATAGGATTTTAACAATGCTAAACATTCTATATTTATCTTGGTTATGTAAATGCTTATAAAGGATATTCATAATGAGTTACCTCAATATATGCTATTTACACAGGACAATTTTAAAAGGTGAGTATTTTGTTGCAGTAAAAAAATAGAAGAATTGATAAAAAAGTAAAAGATAAGAGGATAAGGATTAGTAGAACAAAGATAAAATATATTACATATAATCTTAATGCGGGGAAACTAATAATGTTAATTTGGATCTACTATATCATATGAACGAGGATGTAATTTTTGGGTTAAGATTGAATGGTTAAAATTTAAAAGTGTTTTATGAATACTTTAGAGTAAGACAAAATCTTGTACGCTTATTTTTAGATGACATAGTTTTTGAGAGTTGAGACATTTATTAAAGCAAATAAGAACTAGAAGAGTATCTGAGGAAAAAAGTCTTAAAATTAATAGAACAATAAATGAGTATATTATGTATGATTTTATTGGGAGGAATTTAATATTATCTATCATGCGATGAAACTCATGAATAAGTATAAATTTCATATACAAAATTACAAAATAAATTCTCTTCCAAACAACATAAATCAATGCATATTTTGTCTACATCCCATAAGATTTTCCTTGGCTAGCAACAACTCTTATCTTCTCTCAAAAGCATTAAAGCATCATTCAATAATTAAGTAAACATGACAAAGCTAAGCAGCAAGTAATGGTGGTTGATACATTGTCAAACTCATTGCAATAGAGATTGAAGCCATTTTAACAAGTTCAAGTTCGATGATTCAAATCATCTTAAATATGATTTGCTGGTAGGGAAATAAATCAGATCTTGTATGATCTAGAAGTGTGTTCATGATAATCAGATTTACAAAATTAGCGAGCAAATATGACTAAAGACACTACTTGAGAAGTCCAAAATGACGATTAAAAATTGATATTTGATTTGCAATACCTTCACTGCATATATAAGTGATGAAACTTTTAGGCACCAAAAAGGAAGACCTCTTTAAAAAAAAAAACAAAGCTTCCATACAAACAAAACCACTTTGGGGCATTTTATCAAATAGTTAGTTTACAATACTAAAGTAAATAAGAACCTAAAATCAGAAAATTGAGATCAATGCCATCTATTTCACATATCATAAAAGTAAATTCAACTTGCAGTAACATGACATAAACCCCAACAAAAGTGTATGAACAATTATTGCAAAAGCACATATGTAGCATTGAAACATACTTATAAATTTACACTTCTGCAAATACAATCATAACTAAATATACATATAGCATCTAAGGAATAAATATGATCATGAACAAGAACGAAATACATGTCTATGTGAAAGAAATTAGGGAAATCATTGCATGAGCATGTTGAAGGAAATCACAAACCACCATTATCTCATCCTCAAACAAAAGATCAAAATAGAATAGATCGAAAACTTCCCCGTTGGAGGTACATATATATATTTTGACATGGTTAATCTCTGATTTTTTTTTTAGGAAATAAAATAAGGATAAAGAGTAGAAGAATAAGAAAAGGGAGAAGAAGAAAAATAAGAAGAAGAAGAAAAGGAAAAGTAAGAAGAAATATACCTGCTTTAGAGAAGAAGAGGAGGCGTCGGCTTGCTCCTGAACTTCGCGAACTAGAGGACGACGGAGGGGATGGCATCGGCTGCAATCATGATCCTGAAAGAGGAAAGAGTGGAGGAGTTTTGGCCTCTTCCTGAGCTCGATCAGGCTCCCCAGGTTGGGTTCTGAAGAGGGATTGGCAGAGGCGGGGCTTCTGTATGGGTCAGCTACACGAGAGAGAGATGGAGAATGAGAGGGAACTTTTGCAGCCGTGCTTACCACGGAGAGGCCGAGAGAGAAGAGATGAGGGGGGGGGGGGGGCTCATGAGGGGGGGGAAAAACTTGAGTGGAGAGAAGAATAACACTCTGTCTTCGCATGAGTGAATATCTCCTAGGGAGAAGTCTTCCAACACCTTGTCTAGGGCGGACCGAGCTGGAAAAAGAAAAGGGAAATCTGCTTCGTGCCGCTCAAGGACGATCTCCTGTTTTTTTTAAGCATGAAAATGGGCTCTGTTCGTTCCGCCTCAATCAAGCTATTTCTAAATACCTCCTAAACAAGGATAGCACGCGATCGAGGCACTTGACAATGGCAGAATCAAATTTCAACGAAATCGGACCATTAAATTGATTTCTGGATTTGGGAAAGTGTTTGAATTGAGCCAAAAAAGTCAATTGGATTTTAATTTGAATAAATTGGGCTGATTTGGGCCGAATTTGAGCTAAAATCAAACTTAATTTGATTCAAATCAAGTCAATTCAGGTTCAATGCGGCTCGACTGCATTAATTTTAAAAAATTAGACCCGAATCGATATCGACTTGTCTCAAATTAGGTTCAACGAGGTTCAATCGACTCAACCAAACACGCTCGAGAGCATTCACAAAAAAAAAGAGGTCAACAACATTGCAAACTCAAGAACTTAAAATACTCATGGTTGTTTGTAAAATAAATTAATGGAATCATTTATTTTTTGGTTGAAAGTGAAATAAATTCAAAAGTTTGTATCATTCTATTAAAACAATATTTGCAATGATATATACATATATGTATTAGATTTGAAAAAGTATGAGGCTTTCAATTCGAGCGAAGCCATTAAAGAGTTGCTTGAGTCTTGGACGATGCTATTGCAGGTTGCTGGACTGTTGGATGGCACTGTTTTAGGTCCCTGGAGCACTGAATGACACCCTTACTAACTCATTGAAGCATTGGTCACTGGGGAGATCTCAGAGAGAAGCAAGGACGACATGGAGAGGAGTGATATGATGGACTGCGTGAGATTTGGGATGCACCCAGACGACACTTTGCGGGGAGGAGCACTTTAGAATGCAGGGATTTGAAATTCGCTTCATTTAGGTGAATTCAAAATTTCTCAAAAATGAACTAAATTACATTTCAAAATCTGAAAGGAATTATTTTTTAATTGTTTTTCACTCAACCAAATATTTGAAAATGTAAAACTACTGCATTTGAAAAGTACACACCTCATACACTCAACCTAATAATCCCTTGATATAATGGTAATTAAAATAGCCATGCTTATATTGATATGCTTGTTGGGTGATAAAGAAATCAATAATAGCCATGTTAATTGAGTTTGTTAGATAGATGAATAATAAAATTAGGAATGATAAACTAAAATATTATTATATTAGAGACGAACAAATAAAGGTTGATGAAAATAGTGTAGTGGAAATATACTTTAGTGGTTTATCCCATAAAGAGTAGT